TGTTTACACTTAAGCCAAGGCTTAAGAAACAGAACTTTTATTTTGAGGAAAAACATCCCTAGAGATTCGCGTAATACAAACTTAGAGGGCTAAGATTATGGATGATTGAGTGCTGTTTGTAAAAAAAAAAGAAAACTTTATTCTGTGTTTTCTAATGTGCAATCGAAGTCCTGATCTTCTCCTTAGCTTGCGTCTTCAGTCATTTGAATTTTGTCATTTGGACTGGGAAGTGTGACAGGATAGCCCCACCCCACCCCGACCCCCCAAAAAAGCAGCCATGGAAAACAGGGTACGCAGTCCTAAAGTTTGAACATTTCTTGGAGCCGGGAGTGGGGTCGGCCTACCTACGTAGCCTTCTGTGGCTGGATCGCAGACCAGCCTTCTCCTGTTGAGCAAGAAGTCCTAAGACTTGTTCTGTGTTCCTCCACCTAGCCCCCTCCCGCTTCCCGCTCAGAGCCTTCCTCTGGCCGCCTTTTATGTCATTTCCAGCGTTTCCAGCTGGACTCGGCAACAAGCAGTAGGATATATGTGACTCGATGCCAGCGTGTCTGGACTAGAAGTTGTCCTCTGTTTCTGTCTCTCTCTGACCTTCCGTCTAGACTCTTCGGTAGTGTTTGTTTCTGAAATATGGCCCAGAATAATCCAAAGCTCCACAGAACGAGAAGCCTTTTGTAAATCAGCACCAAAAAGAATCACAGAATTTCCAAGTATCTTTTACAACTATTACTTAGAGCACATTTTCCCCTAACAGAGATCAGCCCTCCAAAATATCAGCTCACGGACTCATGTGTCCCTCTGTGCTGGAACTCAATCGTGTAAATCACTTCCTGCAGTTGGGAAGTTGGTAACAGGAATGACTCCTGCGCCTGTCCTTTCTCCGAGTGACAGATGTGCTGACACTGTGGCCACACCCATCCCTTCTGCACGTGTGCAGACACATATAAAACTTCCCCAGAGGACTGCACTGTCAGGGCCAGCTAGATTGCCTCCTGTGTTTAAGAACTGTACCAGTTGGTATTTTCCGTTTGGTTATACAAGCCATCTGGAATTCATTGTTACGGAATGTGCTGTGTGTGTGTGTATCGGGGTTGTGTGTGTAGTGTGTCTGTAGCGGCTCCAGTGTGCAGGTGCACTCCGTAGGTAGTACGGACGGCGAGTCTGTGGTATGCTATCGTCTTACACGTAGCTAGCCTTCAACACATGAATGTGCGTGCCCCGTCTCAGTGATCCTGGGAGGAAATGTGTAAGGCACAGTTGGGGGGGATGCGTGCTGAGCTATGCAGAACGGCAGAGAGGAGACCTTATGTCTGGCTGGCGTGAACCTGCATGCCTGCCCACAGAGGCAGCTGGGGGGTTGCTTCTGTCCGAGTCACTGATGATTTTTCCATGACTGGACAGGCAGGTGCGGAGGGCCTGACCCTCCTCTGCCCTGGCCCTGGCCTCTCCCCTCAGCCTTTGTTCTCTTGTCACCCCCGAGAATCTGCTTAGCTTCACTGTCCCGCCCACACTGACCATGCCGTGTATTGGTGTGTCCGTGCTCACCTACAGAACTGAGTTCAAATTCCTGTTACCGTGGACTTGTCGAGGTTAGCATGCAAGTATTTGCATCATTTTACTCATGTTTGAGTGGGCAGGACTTAGAGCTAAGTGTCCCATGGGTATGGTATGGGAATAAAAGATAATGGAGAAACGGAGTGTGTTTATGCATGAACAAATAATTTTCCAATTTCCATGTATGCTTGTTCCAGATGTTTTTATTTAGTACAGTTTTTTAATATGTTTGAGATTTAAAATACTAACCCTGAAATTATTCTGTGTCGGGAGCGGGGTACTAAAGCCACCCCTGGGATTGGAAGGGGCCGTTGCAAGATGGCGGCAGGCCCAAGGCCAGGAGGTGGAGCTGTTCTCGCCAGCAGTTAAACAGGAAGTCACAGGGATAGGCTAATGTGCAATTACTGGCCTATCACGTAGCGCCAGGTGGACCCACGGGGAGAAGTGATTGATGGAGAATGATATAAAAGTAGCCGGTACAAGCTTGACGAAGGACAGACCACAACGAGGACAGATGAAGACTGGGGGGCGACGAGGAGAAAGACCAGGGAATAAAGCAGAGAGTACGGGAAGAAATGTGGGAGGAAGGTTGGCGGAAAACGGAAGGAAGGGTGGCGGAAGAAGCGGGGACGAAAGCTAAGACCAGTGGGGACAGGAGAGCGGAGAGAAGGATTTAAACACAGGCGCTTTTGGCAGTGAGGGGTCCGTGGTCGGTGTCTCCCGGACCCTCAAGAGTAAGCATTGTCATTTTAGTGTCGCTGCTGGTCAGCGACAATTCTGTATCTTTTTTTTTTTAATTCTATGTAGTAATATTTAAGTAAACTTGGAAATACTTTGAAAGTATGCATACTTCTTCCTTTTAAGATGTATCTGTTTATTTGAAAGTCCAAGAGAGAGAGCACTTCCATGTGCCGGTTCCCTCCCCAAATGACCCCGGTGGCCAGGGCTGGGACAGGCAGGAGGAGCCAGGAGCTGTGTCCAGGTCGTCCACAAGGATGACACGGGCCCAAGGATTTAGGACCTAGGTTCTTGCTTTGCCAGATACATGAGCAGGGAACTGGATCAGAAGTGTCACAGCTGGGACTCAAAGTGGCACCCACGCAGGCTGTGGGCACCAGGCTGTGGGTGTGTTTACACACCGCTGCGTGTGCCGTCCATCCCCCGGACTGTCGGGGAGACTTGTGGTTTAGACTGATTTTCATGTGATGAGATCAAGGAATAAAAGACATCCTTTTAGGTAAAAAGGCAAGTGGGCTTTTTTTTTTTTTAAACCCTGATTTCTTTTGCTTTCTTTAGTTTTAGATTTTTTTTTTTTTTTGTACATTAGCTTTTCCTAAATTAGCTGCTGTACTCCAAAAACTGAGTAGTCAGTCATATTAATATTCTGGAAGTTCTTGTTGGCTGCTGTATCTTTGCTTAACGCCCTATCCTTTACTCAATCTTAGTTGGTTAACTTCTGCATGAATTCCTGGTACAGCTGAAAGGGACTCCAAGGGGCTGGCTGTTCCTACTTTTTTTTTTTTCCCTGTGGCAAAGTAAAACAGCTGTAAGGTATCTGAAAATATTCTTGAACTACTAATTTAAAACTTTCTGTGTTTCACTGAAAAAGAAAATTCTGGAAGAGTAATTTAGCATCCAGTTGAGATTAAAGAAGTTAATGTGTGAGCGTGTTTGAATCAGAAAGTAGAAGAAGAAACCTAACTGACTGCCAGAGGCATAGCAAAGAGTAATTAATGCTTTTTTCCCCCTATATTAGAAGAAAGACTAAGGTGACCTGCTTGTAGTAATAGTGTGTGATCTTCAAATGACTGTTACTAATGCAGGTGATTACAGTTAATATGGTTTGGAACATGGGGCCATGGCTAAATCTTAAGAATTTATTAGAATTCTGGGTCTACTTTCATTTTTGCCTTTCTACTAGTTTCTAAACTGAGAATGACACGGCTCGTGTTACCTATGCAGTCAGCAAAACTTACTCCTCCCCGAAGACCTCATTATCCTGCGGCCGCCCATCGCGTGCTGTGTCTCAGGCCTGCCTGGCCAAATGCCTCGGCAGTTAATCCTGGAAGAGAAGTGAATGCCTCTAGTTTTCTTCAGTTACAAGTGAACCTTTCTTTAAATCTTTTTTTTAAAGTCCTTTGTTCCTCCCTGATGAATGTACCCCCATCATTTCTCTTTTTAGTTAGTTGGGATAGTCATTCTAGCATATTCCAAGATCCACGGATACTTAAGTCTCTCGCATAACAGGCGGTGGGATTTGCATATAATCTGTGCAACAGCCGCCCGTGCACTTGCAAGCATCTCCGGATCACAGCGTCAAATGCTGCGTAAAGAGTTGTAACGTGGCATTATTAGGGCATAGCAACAGGAAAAAAGATCTCTGCGTGGTAATTTTTTCCCCGAGTATTTTCGATTGCTTGGATTTGCAGATTGGAGTCCATGACTGCCTGAGTCCTGGCTTCACGTGTCTCCTGCTGACACCTTGTACGCTGGACTGTCCCAGGTGCTTCTGTACACATCTCTCCCTCTTCCTGTTTTTCTATTTGTTTGATAGACAGAGTTACTGGGGAGAGCAAGGGGGCAGACAGAGAGATCTTCCATCTGCTGGTTCACTCCCCAAGTGGCCTCAATGATAGGAGCTGAGCCAATCTAAAGCCAGGAGCCAGGAGCTCATCCAGGACTCCCCCGTGTGTGCAGGGGCCCAAGCACCTGGGCCGTCCTCTCCTGCTTTCCCAGGCGTGTTAGGCGAATTGGATTGGAAGTAGAGCAGCCAGAATTCAAACCAGCGCCCATGTGACATGCCACCACCCCCATCGGTGGCTGGATGTGCCTCGTTGTATTGCTTCCAGACCAGGTGTGGTGGGATTTTGGTTTTCAGTCTTGTTGTCTCAGAGCATTTTGCTTACTTTAATACAGTTACCAGTATCACTTGGCTCATCCTTCCGTTGTTTTTACCATCGAACATACCTGATATTTTCTTTCTGGTGTTTCCTTGATTACCTGAACAACAAGTTTTAAAGCACGGGACCCAGTCCTCAACTCTCATCCCGCCAGCCAGCCAACTCTGAAAAGGGCTCAGCCTCACATGTGAAGTTTGTGATCGTCTAAGGTGTTTCAGCAGGAGCTCTGAAATGCCTGTGTCTACAAGGAATTTAATGTTTCATGATAAAACCTGCAGCTTCCAAAGGCTTAGCCATCGTTTCTGAGTCTTTGGGGAAACAAAACGGGCTCCACCGGAATCCTTAGAGACTGTCATTTTAAATCAGTTGTCGAGCCAGGACTTGAAATAGAAGTACAAGTTTGTACGTACAGATTTCAGAGAGTTCATGTTGTTCGTAGATGTCTTCATGGAATGAGTTCCTTTCCTGATTCGAAGGCAGTAAAATTGTTTAAGACATCGTGTAGTCTCATTCGCTAAGTTTCTTATAAAAATTCTCTCTGGTTTTTAGATCACTTCGCTAGTTACCCTGCAGCTGTTAAGCCTGGTTGGCCACGACGACCAGCTTGACGGACCCAAATACAAATGCGCCGTGTCTCTCGACTTCATCAGAGCAATTGCAAGGTAATCACCGAATGATTGTTAATGTCTAGTGTCTTGATGTATTTAAATGCTGTACCCAACGTGAAAATGGGTGTTCTTCTTAATCTGGTGTCGTCTTAGTCTTTTAGAGAAGAAAAGATCATTTGAGTACCAGAACTAGTAAGCTTTACGGTGGAAGGCACCCTCCCATCGAATGTTATCAATGACGTAAATTTAAAAGCAATAGCAAATATGTTAGATGGTCAAAAGAAAAAAAAATGTCTAAAAGATTTTAGTAGGCTGGAATAATGGCCCACGGGAACAATGTGAAATTTTGATGGAGAGTTGGCTACAGAAAAGGTCTTTTGTACTGAAACAGGACAGGAGAGCACTTGGCTTGGGTCTTCAGTATTTTCACTGACTTCAGGGTTTGACAAATCCTGACCTAGGTAGCACCGAAGCTAGTGTCTTATTCAAAGGGCGTCATCGTTCTGCCATGCGTTGCCACAGACAAGCGGAGAAGGATCGCGCTGTTGTGATGTGCTTCAAGGTTTAGGAAGGGAACTAGGCCAGAAGGTCTCGAGCACGCCAAGTGAGTAGGTCACGCAGCCAGATCTCTGCTGGAAGGGTGACGTGGGAGAGAAAAGCCGTGGGCAGGACCTGCTCTCCATCTCGGGCCTTTCGGGGCTGACCCGTGAAACGGAGGGAGGTGAAAGGCAGTCACCCTGGGGTGTCATCGTGGCGGGAGGAAGGGTGTTTGTCAGCACCGGAGCTGTCCGAAGCTGCAGCGAGGTGTCTCCGAAAGCAGCCTGCTCTCTCGGACGTGCTGCTGTTTGAGAAAGTGTTCAGGCCAGCCGCCTGAGTGATCACAACCGGGTGCCCGTCTGGCAGGATGGCAAGTAGGCAGCACTTTGCCCCCTAGTCGCCTCTGAATCCGAAGTCCCATATACCAAGGCGCCGGTTTGTGCCCTACTGGATGGCATAGGGACTCCAGACACGAAGGAGCCATGGGACGTTTCACTGGCATAAAGAAGGGCCAGGTGTTAACGCAGAGCACGGCGAGCAGGATCGTCTTGGAATGTATATTCGTTAAGCACTGTTAAACCTTTCTCAACAACGATATGGGGGCCTCTGTACCTAACAGCCTTTATCCAAGACAGGACTTTGACGTGAAGCCGGTGATGCTGGTTCACTCCCCAAATGACCGCAGGAGCTAGAGCTGGCCATTCCAAAGTTGGCAGCACGGCTTCCTCCAGGTCCTCCCTCCTGTCCCCCCGTGGGGTCAGGGACCCGGGCGCTCAGGCCCGCCTCTGCTGCCTTCCCAGGCACAACAGCAGAGAGCTAATCAGAAGAAGTGGGATAGCCAGGACGCAAACCAGTGCCCATATGGAATGTCAGCACCTCCTACCGCCACCTCCCTTGTAGGCAGAGGCTTAACCTACTGTGCCACAGCACCTGTCCCCTGCCTCCCCCGCCCCCCATGAAGCCCATTTTCTTCAGGGGTTCTTGTCACTGCTCTGAATGTCATGTGCTCCAAAGAGATTGGGTACCGGACGTGTATGGGAAAACACATATGGGTCCCTCTCTATGCAGTGGATATCCAGTTGAACCCAACTGAAATTGGTTTTACCCAATCCGTAACATCACAGGGATGTTAAATTGCGCCGCTGACACACACTTGCATGTACCCCCTACCAAGGAAGGAGAAACTGGAGTTTTGGCCAGAGAATTCACAAACTTTGTTGGCTTTCTTTTGTCTTGTTGACCTCCCCCCTGCTTTCCATGGGCAGCACCCCCTTCCTCCCCCGGCCCCCTCCTCCACTCTTTCAGCCCCACACTGCTTCCTTGCTGCCGACCTGCCTGCCTCCTGTCTCCTCCTGACAGTCATCTGCATTGCCTTCCCTGCAGCCAGATGTGTCCGAGACTGTCGCTTCCCCCGGAACCATGGGGCTCGTTGGCACTCCTGGCCTCTGGCTCTGTTCTCTTTGTGAGAGATTCTGTGCTCAGCCTGCCGGCCCAGCCGTGTCACCTCGTGTCCCGAAGACGAGAGCGTATGATTCCCAGCCCGCCCTCGCTCTTCTACATTCCACAAGTTCACATTCACCTGCTCAGCCTTCACTCGGTCTCCCACAACAAAGCTGAAGCTCTCAGTGAGAAGTCACCTGGATACCTGCCCGGCAGCCGTCCTGTGCCCTTTCCCTGTCTCAGCATCCCGTGTGAATCCAGCCCCTCCCGGCCCCACGCTGTGGATCACCCTCTCTTAAAGCTGAGCCCAAGCTTCCAGCATCTTCTCGCTTTCCTCCTTATTTTGGGGCTGTTTCAACGGAAGCTCATTTACCAGCTTTTCCTTTCCAGCTGACCTTTGCAGCGATGCCTTGAGGCTTGGTCCTCAGCCGTTTCCTCATGCCATACCTTTTCCTGCAGTCAGGTTTAGCCTCGCTCGTGAGTTCCACCAAACCTTCTGTAGATTAATAACTCTCCAATTTGTAAAGGCCAGCCTTTTGAAAACTAATATTCTTGGCCTTTACTGAAAGCTTTCCAGCTGTGTCAATGTGTTTCCAAAACTGCAATTGCAAATTCTAGCACCACCTTGCACAGAGAGGAGAGGAAGGTTCTGTCTGTCCCGTTCTGCACTCTGCCGGTTGCACCAGCCCGAGATGTGACCGTTATCCCTGGATTGGCTCAGTGCTGCCCTCCCAGCATCACTCACTCGTTTCTCCTGAGGGTCTCAGATTCATCCTTTTTTTCTCATTTGTGCTGTTACTGATGGACCAAGCTACCGTCATCTCCTCCTATCTCATCTTAAGCCGTCTTACCTCCACCCCCCTTGATTTTATTATTCACTGTGTACCAGAATGCTCGTAGAGAAAACTTAACATCACCTTTCTGCTCAAAGTCTTCAGTGATTTCCCATAATTCTTGGGATTAAAAACAATCTTGTTGTAAAAAATGTATTTTTATAAAGGTAACATTTTTACGTATTTCGTATCTACAGTCTCAGAACGATTCTCTGCCACGCCCTCCTCTTCCTTCCTTTTTTTTTTTTTTCTAGTTTCTGCAGTGACATACTTTCCATCTTTCCATGTACTTGATAATCACAAGCTTAAACTTTTGCAAAGTAAAGAATTCGATGAAGGAAAATTTGTGCTACTTGGCTTTTGGCAAATGGCTCATTTCACGGAGCAGAGTGCTAGAAGACCAGGGTCTTTAAACGCCGGCAGTGCCCACGTTCTTTGAGCTGTACCTCTGTCCTAGATGGCTCGTGTGCCTCTCCCATCACCATTGGCATTGTCATGACCCCGGCTGTTTTCCTATTTCTAAATACGCCATCCCGCTCCCACTGCTTGCACAGGCAGCCTAGACCAGCCTCCGGTCTTTTCATCTAGCTGTCACGTTACCCTGAGATCCCAGTGCGAGAGCTCAAGTCGGGAGCCCGTGGGACCCGCGAAGACCCCCGTCGCCACCTCTCCCAATGCGTGTCGTTAGGAAGTTGTCATTTTGTCCTTCGTATTCTCATTTTAAAGGAATAGCTGAGTGGATCATTAGAGCTCACCTTGCCTTCCAGAGCAGGTGCCCAGGAAGCCCACAGCTTCCTTGTTGACACTGGCCTTGCAGTGGTCCTGCCTGATCATGCCATGTTTTAGAGAGTGTACAGGCGTCATGTTTATATCAGGCGGTGGAAGAGTGACAGCTCACGGCTCTGAAAGGGCTGTTTCACCTGCCGCCCAGACCCAGCTGTGGCAGCTGTTTGAGGAAGATTCATTCTCTCTCTTCTCTCTCTCCCTGGCCCTCCCTCTCCTCCTTTCCCTTTCTCTCCCCTTCTTTCCTTTTGTCTTTCTCCTTCCTTGTCTGTTGTTCTGCTTTTCAAATAAATGAATCTTCCCTTCAAATTCTCTGTGTTCTCGTTCTCGTTGACTGTGTTTCAGGGCCGAGCTGAAGCTGGGAACCAGGGGCTCTGCCTAGGTCTCCGGCTGCACCAGCAGGATCCTAGCTGCCTGAGCCATTGCCTTGTGCTTCCCCAGGGCCACGGTTGCAGGAAGCTGGAGCCCCAGCTAGGAATGGAACACAGACACTCCACATATATACACATATATATGTGACACACACATATATATTCTTTGTTAGAAAGGTCTTGTTGTCAAGAAGTGGGGTTATGGAGGAGGTGAAGATTTGGATGAGACACAAAAATAGAATTATGTTTCAATAACCACACTTTTTTTTGCTTCTGCGCAGAGGGCTTTCTTTCATGTTAAATAACTATTTTTAATTTTTATTGCTGCTAGTGGTAACAAGATTGTATTTTCAGAAGCATATTCTATCGTTCTAGTCCAGATTTTAAAAATATTTGGTATGTCAGTCATTTATTTAAACTTTTTTTAGAAAGTATATTACAAAATGATAGACAAGAACATTAATTGATAATGGCTTTATAAAAAAAAGTGTGCAATTAGTGAATCTGTAAAAGGCTGTTCTCACATGGATAATTATTTTTGTAGAATTGAATACTTTGGGCTTTTATTTTATACTTACTGCTAGATCATTATATCTAATTATTTTGACTATTTATTCAAATAATAAACCTCCGAGTCTGAATATATTTATACTGAAGAATGAATTTGGGGGAAAAAAAAGAATATAATTATATGTCTCTCTGTCTTTCTGTATTTTACTCTGCCTGCCATCAGAGTACAAAAATATCCACCCCCATCGTCTGTTTGTTGTGTGGTATTCTTGGACTGAGCAGATTTAGTTGCAATACACACCCAGGCCAGCCAGTGTTGGAAGACTGAAAACACAAGCCACGGATGAGGACAGACAAGCGACGGTCCCTGCAATGCGGAGACAGGTGTTTTGAAAGATAAACAATGAGCAGAAGCAAAGAAGATTTAAATACTTTTTTATCTCTAATTGCTTTGTTCTGATCGTCAGACAAAAAAGAAATAGCTTTCAAGTGAAATCTAAGCTTTCTGTATAATAGTTGAAATGCAGAGCATTAAATGGTTCTTTGTGGTTTTTTTTTTTTTTTTTTTTCAGAAAAGCAAACTTTATATATGGTAGAAATGAGAAACCAACTTCTTAAGGAAACTGTGTGCTGAGTGACATTTTTACAAAGGGGTATCAGCCCTCTCTTGATGCATTTGATAGCACTGCCGATGGCTTAACTGAGTTGTGAATTATTATTCTGCATGAGCTTTCCAGAATCTTAACAAAGCTGAGCAGTCCAGGGACAAGGATGCTAACCTGTTATCTGTTTTTGTTTATAGGACAGTGAACTTTGACATAATAAAATACTTGTATGATTTCTTGTGAAAACAAGAGCCAAAGCCATATGGACACTGTGACAATGACTAAGCCAAGCCGCGTTCATCCAACTACTTGGCTGGCCGGGGAGAGGAGTTCTTTGGCTCTGTTGGATTTGTCCAAACAGGTGCTGGCCCAGCATGGAAGCTCCTGGAAGTATTCTGATTGGTCTGGCTGGACGGGAACAGGAGACTGTTTACCGGGGACCCTGGAGTATTTGGAAGCAACGTGTTAATTATAAACAGCAGGGTTTGCGCACAATCTGTTCTACTCTTAATGATGTTATCTTAACACTGAAATTGCCTGAAACCCATTTACTTAGGCCTACGTCTTGCTCCGTGAGCCATCCCCCTGCGCTTTGAACATGCCAGCAGCCCTTGTGTGTTCGCCTGGGCTTTTCACTTCCTCCCCACGGGAGCCTGTGCAGGTGCTTGCCAAAGCAGATTTTCCCGAGGCCACCGTTTTAAAACAATCATAGTTGCAAAACATAAATACAAATTCTTATTTAAAAATCCAAGCTTGTGTGTGTGTGTGTGTGTGCGTTTCGCACCCCAGTGTTCTCGAAAGACGAGAGGGTTGGATGAGCTGTGGACCAGCTCTCCATCTCTCTGGCGGTTAACCACCCAGCCTAGCTTTTCATCAGCAAGATGATGTTCCTTCCTTCCAACCGTTGGCCTCTAAGAGTTGGACAATCAAGTCTTTTCTGATTATAGCAGTGTGGACTCGAGTTCTATTTTTCCGTCAGCATTTAAATGTATGAACATTATTGTGAGCGTGAGCAGGTGTAAGGTATTCCGCAGCCTGGTTAAATCTTGGTGGGATTTATCGCTGTGTTCCATTTTTTTTGAAGAAGAAGAAGGAAAATCTCCGGAGAGGCTTCCGGATAGGGATGTGTTTCCTGTGCTACTAGTCCGACGCAGCCTGGTTTGAAGAGAACAAGTTCCTGGCTGATCGCTTTCGTCTGGAGCTGAGGAGTACAGATCGGGCAATGAAATGCCCTCTCGCCTCTCTACCCAAGAGACCAAGGACGGACTGGTGCCTGGCATCGCCAACAAGTTCGCTCTACCTCCTCCTCTGCTCTCACACGCTGTCGGGCCAAGTCAGGGCCAGGAGAGAGCCGCGTTGTACCGCGTCCTTGCGCGTTCCCTCTCCCATTACAGCCCCGGACCTTGCCACCAGCCCCCCGGTGTGGCTCCTTGCACAATGCAACCACATTGCCCTTTGCCCCCTCCCCCCACCCTCGTTCCTACCCCCCCATCCCCCGGAACTTTCCTGTTTTGTAATTTGCTTTCTAATGACTTGTTAAATGACTCACTAGCTAATTTGATTAATTTCTTTAAATGGATACTAACAGAGTTTACCATGGATATTAGCATATTAACAAGGGTCATCTGCAAATGGCATGTTCTAATTGGAAGGTACAAAGCTCCAATTACAGAGGCAATCCAATGATGAGAATTAGGCTGACTGGCAGGCCTGCTGCTTCGTTAAGAGAGAAGCTTCTGTTGGCCCGAGTCTAGAGGAAGAAGCTTTGTGCTAGCTTTTAGATTACTCCTAGGGAGGCAACCTGCCATTTTAGAAATTCAGGAATTCACTGGTAAAAACTGGTTTCAAATCTGGGCCACTCCCTTCGTGGATGAAGCAGTTCCTTTCCAACAATCCCAGAAAAGATTCTGATCTCCCAAGCCTCACCCCGCTGAACCCCAAAAGCCCACAAAGAGATCAAGGCCTTACTACTGGGGTGAGAGTGAAGACTGCACTACCTTGACCAAATACCATCTGTGTTGCACCTGGCAGTGTGGCCACAGGCCCTCATGTTCTCAGCTGTGTAATGGAGAACAAGATTTACCACATTGAGTTTGCAGAATTAGGTGGATATAGCTAGGCAGTACTGGTTGTCAACTGGAGCTGGTTTTGTCCTCCAGATACCACGTAGTCATTTTTGGAGACATTTTTCATTATCTCACTAAGTCTCAAGATTGCGGAGGGGCCTGGGATGCTGCTAAATATATGAAAATCTCCATCCTATAGCAAACTCCTTTGATCTCAGTGTTAATGAAAGCAGAGGAGGAATGCTTCAAAAGAGAACAGAACGTGGCTTAACCTAGAAGGGAAATCGGCCTGAGCTAGAAAGAGATGTAAAGAATTTTGTTAATGCATCAGGAACAAAGCAGGTTTGGGCACCAGGGTGGCTGAAGTTGCTTGTGGAGCATCTCGGCAGAGTTCAGTGAAGGCAAGGAACTCTCCTCTTGCCGCCTGCAGCCCTGGCCCCCGTAGAGAGCTGTGCTTGTGTAGCCTGCAAGAAAGTCACACCAAAAGGGTGGTAAGAAGGTGGAGTGAGCTCTCCATATCAGGAGCTCTTCTCTTGAAGGACCTTGGACATGGCTTCTAGTGAGCGTGGAACTCACGGATCACTGTGTGTTCCTTCCATCCCCCTGCTGTTTGCAATCAGACCAGCCTAATTGCCTGTTGGGTTTGCTCATCTGCCCGATGCTCCGTCCCTGAGAAGGCAAGTCGCTGTAACACTCAGCGTGCCAAGGAGGAGAGCCCTTGCTCAGGCGAGTTCTTGGCTTATAGGAAGCGTTCGGTGAATGTTAACTGTCGTTAGTCACGAAAGACTTGCTGGTGGCCTTCTAGAAATTGGGGGACGTGACAACAGTCTACCCACCAGTGCTCACTGCCCTGAATACACAGTTGGTGCTCATTCTCCAGCGGTGACACACATCTATGAGACACAGTGTGAAAAGTAGAAATTGAGCAGAGAAAATTATCAGCAATTCATTCACTTAACTGCGTGTTGATGCACAGTAATGATGGGGATTTTAGAAGGCATTCAACTGTTTGAGTAAATAGTGATAGCTTTGCCATCATGGAAAGGCTGGGTGTGTTTGAGGCATGCTTAGATTTTAGCATAAACCAATCTCATTGATCCTTCCAGGAACTGAGGGTCTGGTTGAGTGCACTTTTGGTTGTTTTGGTGCAAGGAATTTAGCAGTGGACAATGGAGACAGAAGCCTGACCAGGATATGAGGTGTTACCCCTGGTTGAATCAGTCTCTGAAACAGGCAGCCCCCAGTCATAAGCAGCCCCTCAGTGAGTTGAGGAGCCCTGGAGGGTTGAGAAGAGGGCTTACACGATCCTGCCTACGATTTGGGAAAGGATCGCTGTGGCCTGTGTGGTGGCCAGGCTGCAGTGAGCTGAGCAGATCATCCAGCAGGAGATTTCACCCCTTTGCTTCTCTGCCCTCTCTTGAGCCACGGGATACAGCAGTCTTTCCTATTGACCTTTGACCTGTCCAGCACCTTCCCAGCCATCAGGAGGACACAGAGACAGAGCACCACCCAGGAAGCAGAGTAGCCCTCACCAGACACTAAATCCATAGCAACTTGAACTTGCATTTCCCAGGCTCCAGAACTGTGAGAAAGAATTTTGTTTGTTGGTTCCCCACTCTCAAGGATTTTGCGATAGCGCTGAGCGCCTGCCTGGAAGTGGCAACATCAAGGAGGCAGTTATGTAAGTCTTGAGTTCAAAGTAAAGCCTCCAGCTAGGGATTTAAACTTGGTGGGCAGAGAGTGGAGGGGCTGTCATCAGTATTTTAGTAAAAATCGTAACGGAGGAAGGTATACAGATGACCAGCAGGAGCACTGAGGAAAGACGCCCTCTAGCGTCACCGGAGACCTGCTCTATAGTAAGGAATTTCCCATCATTCCCTTCTATTGGAAGGTAGGATGCTTATACAGTTAAGGTTTCTTTTTCAATACTAACATTTCAAATACTGAATTATCCCACGTGAGTGCTAACATTTCAGACAGCCAGAGAGGAGAGAGTGGATCGGAGATTTGGATATGCGGTTGGATGCCATCCCTTCCCCAAACAAAATGACTTCAAGATACCTATTCCACAGATTAAATATGATCGTTAAATGCCCAAAGGTTGTGGTTGTAAACAGTTTTTATTACCAAACATCTTTCCTTGTGCTTCTGAAATATTAAAAAATTTTTTTTTTAAATGTTGAAATTCTCTGGCTAATATAATGATCTCCTCTAGGCAGATTTAAGTAAGGCATATTTGTTCAACTCTTGGTTGTGTAACTCCTTTTATCCCTGGTCAGATGTTCCCATCTTTAGTTGTTGTTGCATTTTTCTTTCCCTAATCGTGATGAATCTCCCCAGTGAATGGCACACAGTAGAGCAGCACAGGCTTAAAGTTGAGCCTCCAAATACTGAACCGATTGACTTTGACTTTCTGCTTTGTCCCTCACTCATAGTGACCAGTGGCTCTCAGGGAGCAGAACAAAGTGGAACTCGGTGGTTCATTAAGTAAGCTTATACATAATTAAGTAAGAGTTAATATAACACAATACAACAAAGTAATACAATAAAAACCCAGGAGCTAGAAATCTGAGGAACAATAAATGACTTGAGCTGGAAGAAAAGTAGGACCTAAACGCTCGCTTGCCTAGGGCAGATGGTAGTTTAAAAATGGCCAGAACTGAGCTGAAGCCGGGAGTTTCTTCCAGGTCTCCCACATGGATGCAGGGACTCAAGGATATCTTCCACTGCCTTTGCAGGTCATAAACAGAGAACTGGATTGGAAGTGGGGTAGCCGGAACTGGAACCAATGCCCACGTGGGATACTGAGCATTGCAAGTGGAGGATTAGCCTCCTGTACCACAGCTGGCCAGTTTCTGATTTGCGCCTGGCCTTCTCTTGGAACACCATCTGCGAAGCCCATGTAGGGAGCAGGCAGGCAGCACTGGCAGGTGGACGCCAGGCCCGTGTCTCCTTTCCCATCGGCAGTGGTCTTGGGTCACAGTTCAAGGCTGCAGCTGTAGCCAGTAACTCCACAGCCAGTGGTGCACCCAGTTGGGGTTCAGTTGTCATGGGAATCGGACTGCTCTAAATTCAGACGTGAGTGGAAGAAAAAGCATTGAACATAACATAAGGCTTGGAAAGATCTATGACTTGTGGCACTGACACAATATAACGGGCTTATTAAGAACACAGTGAGGGCCTGGA